CTTGATGATGATGATAACCTGCTGTGCACAGCCGCATCAGGAATGAGACGATAATGCCTCATTGCCTTAGGGTTAGGCTAACCCACTGCAGCCCAGCAGGTCAGACTGTTGAGTCATCCGCCCGGGGCAGCGTCCCCAAAAAACCCTACTGTCTGCCGCCTAGTGAATCAAACTTTTGAGTCAGAGGCCAGGAGCAGGGTCCCCGAACAAAACCCTACATTGTCCCACTGCCTGGTTGGTCAGACTTTTGAGTCAAGGGCTCAAGGTGGGTTACCTCATCCAAAACCGCTTCCTCCACCTGGGCAACCGGGAAGTATCATTTGCCCGCGCAGTTCGGTGTCCACCGATGTCCCTCCCCAACCCCTTCCCACCACACAAGCAAACGTCGCTGGGTTATTTGACTGTGAGTTATCTGACCGAAGGGCCTTATGCTCCTTGCTGCTCCTTTCTAAATCCACATGATCCTTTCTATATAGGAGCTTTTGACGTCCTTACTCTATGTCAAACTGGCAAACAGGCAATGCTTGCCGAGACTTTATACCCCCTTAAAATGGATGTATGCTGCGTTTCCGAAACGCGCATACAATACCCGAGCGTGGTTATACATCTCAGAACCCCAAGGATAAAATCAGCTCTTTCACATTTCTATTTCCATGTGCCCGGTGACCCAAAAGCGATGACTCGTAGAAGTTACACTCAGCCCCAGAGATGAAAGCGCCTCGCTGGATGGGATTCCAGTAAACAGTCGTCTTTGCCCCGTTCGGTTGTCCAGTTCAATCAAGCTCAATGCTTGTCGGCATAAAAGGAGGTGCTTGTTTGTAGTGTCAGCTTATGCCCCGACGGACTGCAGTTCTGATTTTGGGAGGGATACTTTCTCTGGACGATGTCTTCCAAGATGGTCTTCGACGCTGTACCAAAAACATGGCAAGCCCCAATCGGATGCCGGACCGATTTTCAAAGTAAAGCATTCCGTGAAGAATGAACTTGTTCCTCTCCAACAATCCAGAGTGATCCAGGTAGTACACTACTTGCCGTGGGGAAGCTCCTGTTTTAGTCATCAAAGAAGCAGATGGTAAGATGCGCATACGTGCTGATTTTTTTACAAGAATAAAGGTCAATATACTTGCTGACATCAGAAGATGTGTTCACCGGGCTTAATGGTGGAAAATGTTTCGCAAAGCTGGATCTCGCTGATGCCTTATTTATCGTTTGAGGGATTCCACGCGTCATCCCACTCGTTGCCTGATGGTATAGATTTCCCAGCATCGATCGAAACAATCGATCTCGACTATATCCAGTGGCCATTTGATTCTAGTGGATGATTCAAACAGACAACTTTGAACGCCATCAGCGTAGCTCCTTTCATATGTTACCATGCTTACTCCGCGCGCTCGGTACCAATATTGCGTTAGTTTACTGCAGAGCACAGTTCAATTAGATAGGACCGATACCGCTGAGCTACACTGGTTCCCCGAACATTGTGGATTAGCATGCTTCATTCTGACTTACAAGGGCCCGGAGACAACGGAATTGTCAACCCTGCTCGCGCCATGGTATGATCGGAATCAAGTGCTGGCCAGAAACAGTTGGTGATCGGAGTACAACTGGAAGGGTCATTCCCCGCTGACACACCCAGAATCCACTCCGAATCGATCGCCCAGTTGTGATTTCAAGAAGCTCAGAAGAGCGACTTTGGTATTTATATCGCCCGCAAAGACCTCACTTTCAGTGATCCTTGTCTGATGAATGAGCCTGAATATAACCCGATGGAATTTATCAGTCACAGCGTCAGAAATACAGAATGTTTGGGCATATGCCGATACTACAAACAGGCACCGGTTTCACGTCGAGTTTGTCGAGTTTTGTCGGGAAGTCGGTTCATGCACAAGTCAAACTGAAGAAAATGATTGGCTGGTCCTAGTCACGTGATCCCTACCGAAACATACGAGGTCCAGCTGGTTGGCAGAGGTTTGCACCAGTAGCCGCTCGTCCTTTCACGGATTCACAGATTGATACACAGGATCGAGGCTTTTGCCCAAGTTTCCCGGGTCGGTCTTGTTCTTGTCGGTCAGTGGCTGCCGTCCACCTGAAAGGCACAAGTGAAAAAAGGGTGTAGCACTGCTCTTTATGTTCTCAGCGCGGGGCAGTATGCTTGCCAGCGCGAGGATTCGCATAAATAAATGTCTAACAGTGCTTTAAACTTGGTTCCAGAAGGAGCGTGGACAACCGTCGGAGGAAGTGCATTCCACGCAGCTACTACCCGAAATGAGAAAAAATTTTCTCCAATGAATGCATGTGCTCTGAGCTTGAAAATTTTCTTACTATGCCCCCGCCGGGTGTTTGCTGGGTCAACGGTGAAAAACCTGTTTGCCAAGCTTTGTTCAAACAGGGTATAAGTAAGAATTAGTTCCCCTCGGAGACGACGGTACTGCAGGGGAAAGAGATCAAGCATGGCGAGACGTATTTCGTAGTCCACGGATTTGAGGCCGGCAACCATTCTCGTGGCGGCCCGCTGGACACGCTCAATGAGGGTGA